GGTTATTGCCAAAGAATTACTTGTTCTTCATGTCCCAGCTCTTGATCAAATTGCTGACACTCTTACCAAGCCGCTTGGAGCATCTCGCTTTGCCTCTCTTCGTGCCAAACTCAGGGTTGTGAATTTCGCTTCTCTCAATCACAGACCCTGAGTTTGCGGGGGTGTATTAACAATAATGTATCAGACTTGCTTGAAGTGTAGTTAGTCTCTTAGTCTCTTGTAGTTAGCCTCAGCTTTGTATAGATGGCACTCAGTCAGTTGGGTTAGTTCAAGATGGTGTAACAGCTGTCAATCTGTTAGAGTTAGTTAGCTTCTTTGTTACAGGTGTCACACCACCCTTATGATGAGTCATAGCTTCTATATAACAACTGTCTCTGTATCAAATGAAAACAGTGAAATACATGGAATTCTTTCGATTTCTTTTCTCTTCTTCTGTTTCCCTTTTCTTCACTTTCTTGATGGTATCTTGAATTGTCATTATTGTTAACACATGGTAGTGAATTGTTATCAAATGTCCCTTTTCTTTTCTTCTCTTTCTAATACATGGATTCACATGCTTATCTAAGGACCATGGTAGTGAATTGTCATAGCTCCCATAATAGGTATTTAATTTCTATAGCAGTGGCTGGTCATTCCTTTCTTGTTGGTGAAATTGTCTATTAATTGCACCTACAATTTCAAGAAGCAAAACAGAAACAGAAAAAAGGGACAAAACTTAATGCTTCACACAAGGTGGGGAGGGGGAAAAGTCATCATAATCCAATTAAAATTTAACATGATTAATCTCAGAAAAAGAAGAAGAGAGAAAGAAAGAAGACAATGGGGTAAATAGTTGAGAGGCCAGGCATAAGGAAAAGAAAAATAAAGCTCCATTTTGTGCTCGTGATTTTGTTCTTGGTAGTTCACTAAGTTACAAGGAACCTCAAAGCAACGCTGGTCAACTACGAATATTGAACTTGCGTCTCCATGTCTGTCATTAGGATGTTGTGGTTGCATCCTCGTGTGCATTCAAGGAGAACCCACCATGGGACTATTTTATGTAGACAGAGGCAATACACAAGTGATCTGTTATTCTAATGCTGATTGTAAAAGGTTTATTTCAAATAGATACTCCAATTCATGATATTGTTGGGAAATTCGTTCCCTCAAACTCCAATGTCAAGCGGGTCCAGGGGAAGCCGGTGGCAGGGAACCACCACCAATGAGCTAAGGCTACACCAACCGTAGCAAGTGGATCCGACACCATGTCTCAACCCAAAACCTTAAGGCATTGGGTTCATGGGTCCTTTCACTTATATACTCTTCACTTAGCTCATTACCAACCAATGTGGGACTCATCACACTTGAATATCTCAACAATCTCCCCCTCAAGTGTGAAACCCACCATTAGTATGCTCCCTCTCAACCGAGTACCCGAAGCGCAAAGTACTCGACCCGCCTCCTAGCCAATCACTAGGCTAGCTCGAGCCCAATCCGGCTCTGATACCACTGTTGGGAAATTCGTTCCCTCAAACTCCAATGTCAAGCGGGTCCAGGGGAAGCCCGTGGCGGGGAACCACCACCAATGAGCTAAGGCTACACCAACCGTAGCAAGTGGATCCGATACCATGTCTCAACCCAAAACCTTAAGGCATTGGGTTCATAGGTCCTTTCACTTATATACTCTTCACTTAGCTCATTACCAACCAATGTGGGACTCATCACACTTGAATATCTCAACAGATATTATGCTCTAATTGGAGATAACATGACCTCTTGGAAGAGGAAGAAGCAAGATGTTCTTGCTAGATCAAGTCCAAAGACAGAATATCGAGCTATGGCTTGACAAATGAATCTAGTTTGTGATGATCAAGCAACCATGAATATTGTCTCCAATACTATTTTTAACAAGGACAAAACATATATAAGTTTTCTGTCAGTTACAATCCTTTCAGGGTGCTCTGCTATTGGCCTCAGCAGACATTCACTAAGTCTCTCAGATATTGTCAGATTGACCATATTATATTATAGCAAGCTTGTTACACACAAAATCTATGATACTCCAACTTGAGGGAAAGTTACAATTAAGAGCTAGGTCAATGTACACAAGGGCCAGCTTCACCCTTGAGAGACACGTTTTGAGATTTAGTTGTTGACAAAGATATTTCTGTGTGAAGGGATAGTTCCCTTGTGAAGATCGTAACTCTTGTATTCTTTCTCAATTATCAATAAAGGCAATCTTTTCTTCCCAATTTCTTATTCTTTCCATTAACTTCTCTTAAATCAGTGCTGTAAATCCACCCTCCCAAATCCAGAAGTAACATATGCTTTTATTATGTGTACGAGTATCCCTATTTCCTGTGCATAAGTAGATACATAAAGAGGAGCACTGCGTGTTAATTGTTAATGCTTCCAGTAAAATTCTTTTCCCTCTTCTTTGAAGAGGCTTTGAGACCATTTTGGGCAATGCAAAGAAACAGGGATAGGGATACTCGTACACATAAAGAGAAGGAGGGGAAGGAAGGGAAGAGATGGAGGAGTTGCTAAGGCCCCTTTTAGTCTTTTTTTGGTTTTGCAACTTATTCTCATTTCATACGCATGTTGTTGCCATTAAACATTATGAAAGCAGCTAAACTGATAATACAAATAAATGTAAAATGCCAGAGAAAGTTTTTCTCAAACTATTCAAAGATATACCTCTTCTACAAGATCGCTGGCTATTCCTCTGACAACTTCACACAGATTGTTTTCAGTAAATGATTCATTGATCCAGAAACTGATGTCCTCGTAACAAGGAGGATACTGTAAAAGGAAAATAGGAAGAAGAGATTGAATGTTCTCACCTAAGATTTTGCTAATTTATCTAGTCACAAATAGAAATAGAAATTCCTCATGGTCAATTACAAGACAGACAAACGGAGAACATAACTCCACAAGGTCCCAGCATAAAAAAGGCTCCTAAGCTTGCCGAGTTAAATGCCCTCTGGTCTGATATTTACATATAAAACGAGTATAATTTGACAAGAATGACACTAAAATGCAGAAAATATACTCTAAATTTATTAGTTTAAAATAACTATATGCATCTGAATAAGATCAAGACAAGGCCTTTAACATAGTGAAGCATCAAAGCCATGAGCATACGCATGTCCAAGTGTAACAGTATCTTGCTATTTGTACTGGTAAAACCCACCACATTTTCTCACCAAACAACATAAGAAATGTAAACAGAGTTTTGCATGACAAATTATGAGGGTGATCTTAACTTTCAATTCCATGGATCGTTCACATACAGCTTTCAATTGTGGTTATTGTAAGGAATAACAGTTTATTCCTAACCATGAACGTAGACAGCAAAATGATAACAAATGTAGACACCCAAGGGGAGGCACACAGATGCAAATGTAGAAGTTACCTTTGAAAATGGCTTAAATTTGACTTCCAGCTGCCCCTTGGAAAACTGTATATAAAATAATTAAAAAAAAAAAAAACAAGCACATGGAATACATTAGAGATCACAAAAGATTGAATAATATTCCAATTCTCAAGTTGATTAAATCATACATCCTTATAGTCCACATCTGGCAACAAGGAAAACAAAGAGACAACATTGAAGAATGTTTGTTAAACATATCCAAGAAATACCTGTGAGGTAAATCGTTCATCGTTACCAAAAGAGACGAATATCCAGTATGTCAAATAGAACCATAGCTAACCTCTCCAACCCTAGGCCGAAAGCCCAAGCAACATTATTACGTTTTCCATTTCTTTTCAGAATCTCTATCTCGGTCACTACACACCCCAAAACCTCCAACCATTTTTCCTGGAATAAAAGAAATATCAAACAATACTTAATTTTAATACAAAATTAGAATAAGAAGAAGAATAGAGGGACGAAAGGGAAGGGATGAAGAGAACCAAAACAAGTCTAGGAATGATAACTAATGGAAAACTGCCCGTAAAATATCCAAAATATTGTATGTTGACACAACAAACACAATATAAAAGCTTACCAGGTATATGGCTTATCCTATACCAACAAGTTCCTCTTACCAGCCTTACACAGTGCACCGAACACGCCTAAGGTAATAATCCCAATATGCCAGTGGAGATTTATGGAGTCTTGTAATTTAGGGAGCTTTAATATTCGTAGGGGTGTTAATTCGTGTTGGCGGGGTGTTAGTGTCTTGTGATTGTCAAACATGAATAAATAACTATTAAACATTGACACTAACGTAGCCTGCTTATTACACATATTGATACGACACACCATAAATAACCCACCAACCCAAGTAGTGTGTTTCTTTCTCCAGACGCAATTAACATGTAAAATACACCATTGCTGTGATTTGTCTTCATGTGCTGTCATCCTTCTTATATGAGAGAAAACACACTTTTTATTATCATCATAAAGCTTGTGTTTGAGTTCAGGAAAATATAGAAAGCAAATTCATCTCATCAAATAGATTAAGAAGGCATGTGCACGTTCTAATACCCACTCATTCTTGTAGATGATATTTCTGTTAACATTATTATTTTGTGTTTAAATCTAAAAAAGATTTATTCTTGTAGGTGATATTTTGCAGTTAACATTCTTGTAGATTCGGAAGGCATATTCTCAAATTAACCAACAAGTTTAACAGAAATGAATTAAACTTATCAGCTTATATCAAAGAATAACAAAAGGCAAATAGGTGGATAGACCATTATAAAAGCTTGGTGTATGAAAATTGTTACAAATGATTCGTAATCAATCATGATTAGTGCTGTCAATATGAAATTAACTTTTTTATTTTTTATCTTTTTGTAATTCGTTTTACTACAAATTACTAGATGTTTCGAGCTGCATTGAGTTCTAGCCATAAATGTTTTTATTTTTCACTTTTGTTTTGCTGAGAGGGAAAGATTGATTTCTATCATAAAAATGTAAACAAACGAAAGAGATTATGAACTACGAGTTAGTTCATTAGTTGTTGTTTTCGTTGGTTATGAAGTGGTACATAATTATCATTTCACCGATAAGATACAAAGAAAGATTAAAACAGGAAAAAAAAAAAATTCAACAACTAATATAAAAGTTATAAAGGTTATTTCAGGCGCTAAAAGCTAAACCTAGTTAACCAAGCTCATCATAGGTGTAAAACGAAGAGTTATAATTTTCTGTTAGCATCTTGATTCTTGAGATGGAGAGAAGGAAGATTGCTGAGTCCGTTTGCTAGAACTTGTGAGCATCGACACGACTTTACGCATAGTTGGGCGTCTAGAAGGACACGTGTCAGTGCAGAGCACAGCAATTTTTAAGACATCAGAAGTTTGAGCCACATCTATTTCATCTTGTAGATCCAAACGAGTGTCAAAGATGTCTAGTGACAAGGAATGTTTGTGGATATGATTTCTCACCCATGTCACAAGATCACCACATTGATCCAACGGTTGAACTGCCTTCTTGCCAGTCAGTAACTCCAGAAGGACAACTCCATAGCTATACACATCGCATTTTTCTGTGACTTTTATTGTGTATGCATACTCTGTAATATAACATTATAGAGTCATTATAGTATAAAATATTGAAATAATCAAAAACTGTTCCCAAGATTGGTAAACTCATCAACGTCATTCAAAATTGCAGTCCTTGATGCACATTGACTTGAGTAAAATGAAAAAAAAAAATATATATACAATAAAAGCAAGGCTTTTTGACTATTCTGATGCAAAATCCAATACATGTTACCATTTTAATTATTTTGGCAAATTATTCACCAATCTAATGCAAGTGAAATGCGAATAGGGAGTGTGCGAGTTTAAGTCGCGCAGTATCCCATCGCAACTTGTGCAAAAGCCAAAACACGTTATCAGGTATCAGGCTCTGCAAGACGTACTTAGGGTGCATGCGCGATTTGAATGCGCATAGTCAAGATACACGTCTTGTATTGCGCTGGTTTTTGCACAAGTTGCACAGAAGTGATGCACGACTTAAACGCACACATTCTCAATGCAAGTTTTACTCGCATTAGATGGGTAAATAATTATCAAAAGAATTAAATCGATGATATGTTTGTATAGAAAACATAGGAGTGCAACAATGATTGTAAAGAAAAAATAAAACGAAGTGTTTGGATGATTACTCACCAGGGGCAATGTAGCCGTAAGAACCTACAACTGCTGACACTGATTTAGAGCATGACATATCGATCAGCTTTGCCAAGCCAAAATCCCCAACATGAGCTTCAAATTCATGATCAATGAGTATGTTATTGGGCTTTATGTCACGGTGGATAATCCTAGGCTTGCAATCATGGTGCAAATAAGAGAGCCCTTGTGCAGTTCCAAGGGCAATCCTAAACCGAGCATGCCAATCAAGACTAGAGGATGATGGTTCATGAATTAACTCCCCTAAACTGCCCCTTGCCATGTGCTCGTAAAGAAGTATATTGGAGCCATGGTAATTGCAGAAACCATATAATTTCACTATATTCCGATGCCTTATTTTTCCTAAAGTTAAGATTTCAGCGCGGAAGCTGGCATTTACGTTGATGCTGCTGTCACTGCTTGATGTCAGCTTCTTAACAGCAATTGTATGACCAACTGATATATCTGCTCTATACACAGTTCCAACACCTCCTTTTCCAATTACATATTTGGAATGAAAATTTTCAGTAGCTTCAACCACATCTTGGAAAGTTAGCTCCTCCTTTTGGAAGAAGTACAAGTCTGAAACAGGATGAGAGTATGGTGTATTAATATCTTGCTGCCCCACAATAGGGTCCAATGGACTTCTCATGAGATATAAAATGACTACTATTAAAACCAAAGAAATCCCGCTAACAACAGCTGCAGCTATAGCCAAAACTTTCCCTAGTTTATTTGGAGGGGAGGGTGAAGCTGAATTTGGGCAAATGCCAAGCTTTCCTCCACAAAGTCCTTTGTTTCCAGCAAAGCAGCTGAATGTTGAGATTTGAAAGAGAGGTAATGAAGGCAAACGGCCAGTAAGATCATTGTTTGAGAAGTTGAAGGCCAGTAAACTTGACAGTTTGTCAAAGGAGAACGGGATTGTACCACTCAAATGGTTATTGTTGAGTTGGAGTGATTCTAGCATAATAAGGTTCCCAAGCTCAGAGGGGATCTGGCATGAGAGTTTATTATAACTGAGATTCAATGCAATCTGTAAAGATGAGAGAGCACCCAACTCAGGTGGAATGCAACCACAAAATGAGTTGCCACTCATTTGCAGCTCAGTCAATCTAAAGAGTTTTCCCACTGCCACAGGAATATTACCAGAAAAATTATTTTCTGAGAGCCTTAGAAGCTCCAATTGTGAAAGAGTTCCTATCTCATCTGGAAAAGAACCTATGAAGTTGTTGTGGCTGAGATCAAGTCTTTGGAGATTCCTGCAATTGAACAGTTCCAATGGCACTCTACCTAAAAGATAATTTGACGAGACATTGAAGGTGACTAACTTTGAGAGGTTACCTATTTCTCTTGGTAATTCAGACAAGAAGTGATTTTTTGAAAGATGAAGTCTTTGCAAATTCTTGCAGTTACCAATTTGTGGAGGAATAGGCCCAGTGAAGTTATTCTGATCCAACTCCACTGCAGAAAGATTAACGAGGTTGCACAAATTAGAAGGAAACCTGCCTCTGAGGTTGTTACCAAAGAGACGAAGTTGCACCAAGGACTTGCAGCTTGTAATTCCATAAGGAATATTTCCAGTGAGCTTGTTTGATCCTAAGTTCAACAGCATCAAGTCAGAATGTTGGCAAAGATGGACTGGCAGTCTTCCCACCAAGTAGTTGTATGATAAATCAAGCACCCAAAGTGGACTATTTGCTCCCAGTGATTGAGGAATGGTACCACTTAGTGAGTTGTTGAAGAGTTGCAGGGAGGTCAAGTTGGTCAAGTCTTGAAACCCAACAGGAATAGCACCTTTGAGATAATTAATAGAGAGATCTAGCTTAATCAGGTTTTTCAAGCTGGTAAGCTCATGTGGGATGACACCAGTTAGCTTGTTCTGGAAAAGATGAAGCAATTGTAGCCCTCTTATTTTGACAAACTCAACCGGTATCTCTCCTGCCAGGAAGTTTTCTGAAAAATCAATCTCTGTTGCAAGAGAAAGGTTCCCAATCTCCTTTGGAATTTTTCCTGTCAACTTATTCCGGTAAAGGTATAACCTCTTTAGGAGCACAAGGTTTCCCAGCTCCTTAGGAATTGCTTCCACAAGATTATTCTGATACAAAGCAAGAACCTCCAGACTAGTACAGTTTCCAAGCTCTTTAGGTATGGCCCCATAAAGGTTATTTTCCCGAATGACCAAATATTGTATGTTCTTGAGCAGTCCAAGTGCTTTTGGAATTTCACCAGTTATCTGATTTTGAGTTAAGCCAAGATATTGCAAGCTCTCACATCCACCTATCTCTTGGGGTAGACTTCCTGATATCAAATTCTGCCCAGCTCGGAATCTTCTCAATCTTTTAAGTTTCCCAAAAGAAGGTGGCAAAGATCCACTGAGATTGTTGGTGAATGCAACAAATATTGAGAGTGAAGAAAGGTTACCAATTTCCACTGGAAAAGGCCCAGAAAGTCTGTTGTTGTAAAGATACAATTCTGTTAAATCTGAAAGCCTACCTATTTCAACAGGAATTCTGCCTTCAAACAGATTATTGTTGAGACCAAGAACCTGCAAACTTGAACAGTTTCCAATTTCCTTGGGAATAACACCAGACAAAAAGTTTTGAGACAGATTAAGGTGATGCAAGTGAACCAAACCACCAATGCTGGGAGCCAAAGACCCGGATAGGTTCATTGAATGCAAATCTAGAGACTCCACCACAGGATTGCCACCAGTGCTGCAGTTGACCCCCTTCCAACCACAAGGTGTGGAATCACTTGAATTCCAGTTATCTAGATGGTTGTATTTGTTAAACAATCTCCCTTTTATGTCCAGAAGGTATTTACCCTCTGCATTGAGCCCTTCAGATAGACAGAAAAATAGAGTAGTTGAAAGAGTAAATATCATTATCACAAACAATGCAGATGCATTCCTCTCCATCTGAATTATCATATGATGGCACAACATATGTTAAGGGACCAAGGACCACTTGCACATGCAAATTATGCACACAAGGTTATATTTGAGGTGCTTACTCTTTTTCTTCTAAGAATAAAAGAGAACTGAAGCACAGGAAGATTCATAGAAGGCCAACAATTTTTAAGTGAACATTCACAAACTGAAAGTTGCCATAATAAAGGGAAGGTACATAGAGAGGGATCCTCTGGCTTATATTGGCAACTTGCCAAAATGATAACTGGTGGTGGCCAAGTGAAGGGATTCAAAGATTCCACTACCTTTGAATGGAAGTTCATCATATAGAGGAAGAGACCCTCTTGATTTGTTAGGCTTTGTGATGGCCGACAAAGGATGAATGGATTTGGTACTATTTCTCTACACTCCATGATACTGTAGAGCTTCTCGGTCCAGTAGCATTTAAGATTTCAAAATCTTTAATGCAACCTCTCTAATCAAAAAAATAAAGAATGAAGAAATAATGATTGAAAAAAAATAAAATACAAGAACAAGAACTTGGTCGACTCTGACTGTGACTTTTAACAAAATGATTTATTTGCAATCTTTGAACCCACCTTAACTCCATGAAGTTGAAATAGCATCTGTACACCAATTATTGTGGAGATGAGTGGAACTTTAACTAGTCGCTGTTGAATTGTTTAGTGTTGTCATAAACCTAAGATTCTTCAACTTAGGATTCTCCTTAAGGTTGTTTAGTGGGGTGCATGTTATTGGGTCAAAGTATTTGAAAATCAAGATTTTCTCCTAACTTTGCCAAACTGCTCTTCAAATTTTACTGACATTTGAAAATCAAGATAAATGGAATTTTAACTAGCGCCGCATCCACATGGATATTGATTAGTGTTGTCGTAACTTATTTTTCAACTTAAATACTTTATAAGGTTGTATCTAAAAAAAAAAAAAAAAAAAATCGTTGGGTAGTGGGTACATGTTTAATAGTCAAATATTTGAAAAACAAAATTTTTCTTCTGGTTTTGTCATACTGCTATTCAAATTCAAAATTTTCCTCCTTGCTATATTCTCCACAAGTTTAAGTTTCTCTCAATATAAATCTACCACCATATATTTTTCTATACCAGAATAATATTATTTATTAAAGTGACGTACTTCAATGGGATGAGAATAGATTTATACTTCGAGGTAAATTACTCTTCACACATATAAGATTAGTTGTCTTGTAGCTTAGATTTCTATAGTCTACATGCAATGAACCTTTTGGAAACCTTCTATTAAGAAAAGACAGTGCACTAGGTTCATTTTGGAACCTTATCTTGAACTAATAATAAATCACTTCGTGCTTATTGGCTTTGTTTCCTCTTATAGTACTATTGTCAAAAGTCAGATTATAAAACACCTGTCCAGGAATCTATGCCACGCAAGTGGTGATGGATGAAGTTATAGAGGGATTTAGCGTGCTTATTTTTTTTTTATACAATACATCACCTAATACAAATTATCCACTCAAATAAATTAATGTAGAAGTGGAGGTTCAAGAAACGGTTTGCTTAAATATTACACGAGTCTTAGAGAGTCTTTTAGCCAAGGAGAGGGACACTGTGTCCCTCACAGATAGCATTATGTTTAACTTTGTTTAATTTTCCTTTTTGCTTTTGGGCTACAGTTCTCGTTATGTATATATATATAAAAAAAAATATTACACGAGTCTTCCTATTTCACTTTTCAGCCACCTGAAATCAAGTTTTGTTTCTTTTAGCTATTATCTCATTCATGTTTCTTGATAAATTGCATGCAATATTACTCCGCATCCTCATTCCAGTAGATTAAACGTTCTTTAAGTCTGAATAAATTAAGGGTGTGATAATATCTTTACTCGTACTTGAGTAAAAGAGATCAACAAAAATTTGTAAATGGATCTACTAATGTATGTGTGTGTGATAGAATCCATTGAGATCCGTATCAAACTTTTAAATTTGACCCCAAATCATAACCATTAATTTTCATCAATTATATATGGAAGTGCTAGTATGGGACAATCTACCTTGACTCAGTTTTTATAGTTTGCATATTTTTGTATTACCTCTTCTTACTTCCGTATTTATGTTAATGCATTTTCCAATGATACGTAAGCAAGGCATAATCGACAGTTTTAATTTATTGAGAATTATTAATTAATTAATAAGTTTGAATCAATAAATTAAAACTATCGATTAGCGAAAATCAACGGTTAAGATTTGGTGTCAAAGGATCTTATTCCAATATATATAAATTGAAAATTGTAGCTGCACAATAAATAGGTATAGGAACTGAGTTTGTTATAATAAATTTGAATTTACAATAGATTTTTTATGTAGAAAATAGTTTACGAGCAAAGTTATATGGGATAGGATATTGTGACACCCAAGTTATGTTACACCCATGTGACACCCAGTCAATCTCACCGTTAGATCCCTTATGTTGATCCAACAGTTATATTTATTTTCATCTTTGTATGGTCATGATTTCCCAAATTTAAAGTGAAAGCATTAAATATGGGAAATCATAACCATACAAAGGTAGAAATAAATATAAAATATTAAATTTGAGAAATCATGACCATACAAAGATGAAAATAAATATAACCGTTGGATCAACATAAGCGATCTAACGGTGAGATTGACTGGGTGTCACATGGGTGTAACATAACTTGGGTGTCATAATATCCTATCCCAAGTTATATTTACAAATTTTTTATTTATAAATTTTTACAAATTACATTATGTACTTCAAGGAGTACAAATATTTAAGTGTGTACTCCCCAGAATACATAGTATAATTAATTTATAAACAAAAAATTTATAAATATAATCTACCCTGTAATTTATTTTAAAAACACCTAAAATATAGCAATAATATAGAATTAATGCAAATTCAGGAATGGGTGCTAGTGTTCGACCCGCTTATTATTACTAATCCTATATCATCTGCCATATGGGATAATTATTTCCGGGTTATTAAAAGTATAGTTATGTTTTCAATTTAAGATATTTGTTTTGGATTTTCAAATCTTTTTATTATACCCAGAAATTTTCAAATACTCAATCAAGGCTTTTTGACCTATTTGATTCTAAAATTAAAATGTTTGACCTATTTAAGCTTATGGTCAAACTATTTGCCATCCTAATGCATGGCAACGCGGTGTGTCAGCAACCGTTTTAGGACGCGGTAGGAAAATCAACGTTTTTAAAAATGTAATCACATATGACGTTTTCAGTTTGCAAAGAAAACGTCAGTTGAAGTACCGTCTCAGTTGACAGGAAAACGGCAGAGAAGCAGACGTGTTCCTGATTACTTTAACACGGCAGACCTGCAAACGTTTTGCAGTAGGCCGAAATGACCCTTCATATTGGAAACAGTGATGAACCAGCCGTGTCCCTGGAATTTGTCAGATGAAGTGACAATGCAACTGGAAAATGGCAGGTGCAGTGACGTGTTTCTGTTCAACTGAAGTTGTCAGCCTGAAGTGACAAGCCACTGAAAACGCAACCTGCAGTGACGCGTTCAGTCACTGAAAAACATTCCATCCGGTTTCACCTTAAAACGCTACCTGCTCCACCATTTTGCAAAGGAGTAACTCTTATAGAAGCACAACCACACGATTATTTTGCCTCAGTCATATTTTTGGAGCTATCCTCTCTCTGTCAGTACAAGCTGATGTTAGCTGCATCCTTCCTCCCCATCACTTGAAGTTCATCCTCCAAATCAAGTAAGTAGCTGCATGTATATTTTATTTATTGAACTTTTACGTAGAAGTCAAAATTTTCAGTTTGCCATCTTCTATATTTGGTCCATTTTTATAAAATATATTCATAAGCTTATTTTATGGACCCTCGTGACATTGCTAATTTTTTAAAATGATTTATTAAGTTTGGGTTTAGGGGAAGTAGGTCTTGAATGTTATTTTAATAATATTAAAAAATTATCACGTTGTTGCCTTAAAATCATATGAAAAAAATTTATTCATGACATGATAAAGTAAATATAATAATTATAAATTCTTAATATTTGATTAACGTAAGGAAGCCCAAAAAAATTAGAATTTTACAAAAGTTTACATTTATATGCATATTGAAGACAGTTTTTTTTTTTTAAAAAAAAATATCCACTAAATAATAGAAATATGGTATATTGCATTTATATGGACATTGGGTTAAGTTTTTGAACCTGATTTATATGTCCGTTTTTTAAACCTGATTTTTTGCATGATAATATTAAGTTTTTGAAATGTTTTGTATTAAATAAATTTAAAAAACGTAACAGACTTAAATATTTATTAGTACAGTACATGTTATATTAGAAATTTATATTAATCTATATTTTATGTAATTGTGAAATCTATTTGCAATATAATAATTTAGAACAAAATTGACTATAATTTATTGTTGTCAAACTTATTATATTTGTGTAACATAGGTTCATCATGGATCTGTGACATGATTAATCTGGGCCCCGAAGAGTATGGTGTGTTGAGCATGGATGTTCAAGAAACTCATGTCTCTCAGGTTGTATGGAACACAGGACTGATGAGAACCCTAAAGATTCGTAGAGCAACACAAGGTGCTGAAGCTGGTCATCATGATCCATATAATATTCCTGATCCCGTGGCTGATCACCTTAGACGTGCGGGTTTTTACCATGTAGCACGCATGCAGCATTTGCCGGTTAGTAATTAAATGGTGACACTGTAAAACATTTTTAATTTATTCATGGGTTTATGAGTATGGTTAATGGGTTAACGTATTGCAGATTGATCATGCACTTATCAGTGCACTAATTGAGCGTTGGCGTCCGGAAACTTATACATTCCACATGCCGCATGGCGAAGTGACCATAACACTAGAGAAAGATACATCTTACAAAAATAAAATCTGCGTAAAGAAATGTTGCCAAAAAATACATAAATAACTTTACTTAACAAACCAATGCACATATGCATAAAGAAATATACATCTTACAGAAATAAGATC